AAAAGTAATGTGACCAGGGCTGCCAACTGTGCCATATTGAGGTTAAAAAAGTGCCAAAATGTGCCAAATAGCAAAATAAAAGTGAAAAAGGTGCCATTCTTTTTAGTTCTTCCCATTTTTCATTGAAATTAAAAACACATTCCTAAAACAAAATTTCAATGCCAAAGTAAGATAACCCAGTTGTACATATATTCTATAGAAGAAGTACTCGCAGAGGACTTCACAAAAACGTATTGAAATATTACTATTTCTCAAAAGTGCCATTTGAAGTAAAATAGGGCCAAAAAAGGCACGGTTTGAGCCAAGTTGGCAGCCCTGGATGTGACTTTCCAAACACGTTACACCTTGCGACAAAAAACAAAAAAATTTAAAATACACCAAACCATTTCAATACCTGTTCGTGTGGGAAATGAGCAGGAAATAATGCTACTCATACGCCATATACACCTAAGTTGCACGCTTTTAGTTATGCTCATATTTCATAAAAAAAAAATTTGCGTATTTTCATTTGACCGCTCATCTTCTTCTTTATTTATTCAGCGATTATCTTCATAGGTAACCTGATTTTTTCTTACACGCAAAGGCATTAATTTGACACAGAACCCGTTATTTATTAAATTTTTCTTCTGTTAAAGTGTTTTATTTTTCACATTTTCATAAAAAAAACAAAAACTCTGGAATGATTAATTAATTTTTCAGAAACTATCAGACCTATTGAAAAGTGATGTATACACGGTCTATGTAGAATTTAAGTAACTTTCATTTGCCGTATTTCATACCAAGGCTGTTAAATTGGTTAGTAACCACTTTTTGTTTTAAGCTGAATAAAGGCAAATTGAAAATATCTTGAAAACGTATCCATACAATAAGAAATTAAGTAGATTTTCGGAATTAGCGAGCAGTTCCTTATAGCAATTGGATAGTGGCATTCATTGAACGTTTTTACTGTAAACCAGTGTAATTGGAACACTTTTATCTGTATCGAGATCCGAGTAATACAAACATACGAAAAGTTGCAAAAAGACGAGTAAAATGCGTCGTTGTTTCTCTTAAAATGCCATGGAATTAAGTATTCACTGTCACTATTCTTATATCCACAATTTGTTTTTATAAAACCCATTAAGCACATAAGTATATTTTTGTCAATTTTTTTTCAATACCAAATGATGATGGTGCGGCGATACTCTGCCCAGATGTTCATGATGCACTGCACTCAGGTGATGATGGTGGTGCAGATGTTGTTGATGCTTCTTATCGTTTGACATATCTACTTTTGTCTTAATTTCCTGCACTTGTTGTTGTTCACCAGTTGCAACAATGCACTTAAATTTTGGGCCCGAATCACAAGCGGAAGGCCAAGCGCCTAAAAGCGTCCACACATTCGAGCAAATCGCGCTCGACTAACGGAATATAATTCTCGGCTCGGTTACTTTGCCGAAAATTATGTAGATTGAAGATGTGCCCAGTTTATGACAAGTTATGTATTTAGAAGGGTGAATGGGTTGCAGATAGTAACATAACAATACATATCGACAGTGTTGTTGTTTTTGGCAATAAAAATCAAACTTATGGAATTTAATGTAACATAACATATTAGCCGCTCAACAGTCATGGCTACAATGTGTGCAGTAAATGGTGAATCAATGTTAGGAAAAGTGGGTGGGTGGGGGGGGGTTTGTTGTCGGGGGCAAGGCGAAAAAAATGGGCACAATGGCAACGGTGGAAAGTTTTTTGTTATTTATTACTTTTAAGTGTGAGTATGTGTTGGCCGATTTGTTGTTGTTGTTATCTAGGTCATTCACATGACGGCACAGAAATAGCTTGGATTCGATAAGAAATGGGAGCGAGCACATACATAGGCGGTGTTCAATGCTAAAGCGAGCATAAAATGTTCTAAACTATTTGATGGCGTTGGTAACCACCACACATTTTGCTTTTTATTTTGCCAATGGCGTATGTATGTATGTATGTGTTTGTATACCCCTAGAGTGTTTGTGTGTAAACTTAGCAACGCCGCGGAAACGGAAACTCGTCGAACGCCGATTGAGCAATCGAGCACAGGCAACAGGGTCGGTCGGTCGTTGGGCACAATGGTGCCGTTAGAGTAATTTCAGGCATAATAATTACAATTTTAGTTGGTATGCGAAAAATGTAAATCATGTTGAGAACTTTGCTTCACTGTGTCCCAAGTAAGTATGTATGTATGTATGTATGCTTGCGTGTGTGAGTTTGCCGGGAAATTATGTTTAACCTTAGCACTTTTACCACAGGCATTGAAAACTTTCGCGGCGTGCACATAAATTAAATGGAGTTACGTTTTGTTTATTCGAAGTTGATAAGCCACTAATTCGAGTTGAAAGTTGCCAATGGATTGGCTTAAAAAATAGGTTTTAATGTTAGTACCAGAAAGTAGCTTACGCTTCGTTTTTTTTTGGCTTTAATTCAGTAGAGGCGGCTAGCGATTGAAATTGTAGTAATGGAGAGTTCCTTTGAAGAAAACCATTTAAGATGCTTAACCATCCAGATGTGAATGGCCAGCTATCCATAAGTACAAGTTTTAAATAATTTTCTTTTTTTTACAATTCATGTGCTCTATTACTTGAGCAGCTGAGCTTTCGAATAATTGCAAAATACGCGCGGTGAATTGTGTAACAGAGAACAAATATTTCAAAAAAAAAAAAAACGGAACTTATGATACTCGGCTCCCGGATGTTTATTTTGTCGGATCTAAAACAAAGAACAAGGGCTGGAACTATCCGTATATTAGGTGCAGCAAACCGCACTCAGCCGGCATAATGTTCAAAGCCGACAAAATTTTCACTGCCGACATAATTTTCACTGCCGAAGAAATCTTAATAGTAAATCCTCATATCGTACAGGGAACAACGCTGCCACCACGTGAATCCTAAGCCCATTATAATTTTTGCATTTTTAAAAACACTTTAACAGAACGAAAGGTTTAGTGCAGCATTTCGGAGAAATATAAATCACCACTTTAAAACTAATTTATCTGTGTTTGATTATTTGGGTTTCACTCTCAAACATTTACGCTCACCTTGCTATCATCACGCGGCACTTTCACATCTTCACATAAAATCTCAAATATGCGCCAATCTTCGGCAGAGTTACCAGACGTTTGACGAAATGGAGTATAGTGCGACATTAAAATTCAAGAAAATTGCGTGTTGTATTTGTGTTTTTTTCTGGTTTGTTTCTGTGAATTTGTTATTAAATTATTTGTAATCTAACCACACACATGTAAATCCGCCATATTGATATATCTACTGGCTCTCTATTGAACGTCTTCTTCATCCAGGCAGTGTTAGTTTGTAAATCCAAGAATGTTCATTTGTTTTTTCTAACAAATAAAAAAAAAAAAATAAAATTGCCTAACAACAGTGCATTTACATATTTACATGGGTGTATCTATGTGGGGCTTATTAGACTGTTGCATTTGCGCCAGTAAACAAATGGGGTGTTGTCAACGAAACTGAAACTCCATGAATTCCTGTAGCCACAAAAAGTTTGAAATATACATAAGTACTAAGTATGTACGTTTCTATGTTGTTATGTGTGCATAAAACATTATTCGCTATGCTTCAAAGAAATGTATGCCTACAGGAGTACCGCTATTTCCACTCCACTTCTTCTAAGTGCTGCTACTTAATAAATTTTCATCAAATTAACTCCAAACACGCAAATGTTATGGAATTTTGAAAACATTTATTACTATTTGGTTATTTCATCCCGTTGGAACGACTTTTCCTGTGAAAGTCCTTACTAACATTCCACATGAATATTAGTGAATAATTATTACGAAACAATTTAAATGCTCAAAATTGACATTACATATCAACGTCGTTTTAGGTGGGTACGCTTAGCGATCACGTAGTCCAAAATCTGGAAATCTATCCATAATAATAATCATAGAGTGAAGGCGGCCATGAAATTCGGAGACAATGTCTAATCAATGGTGATGTGGTTGGAGACACGACTTCATTTACTCATTCAGGTACTCATTCGTCATGAAGCGGCCTTATTGTTACAAGCTTTTATTTTATTAATCAAATACCTATATCAACTATTTGGACATTGGGAATTTGAGCTCGGAACTCCATCGCCCACACTTAGGCAATTTCCGTAGCAAATGTCACTACAAATACGGCTATCTGCAATACAATACTGTCAACCAACGGAACAATTTACATATATCTGAATGGACTCCGTCACAAATCTACATATTTATGTATAAATGTGGCCCTGTGCATGCATAGAGACTCTAAGGGCTGTTTTCTCAAGTAGGGTTTAAAATTGATCTACCCTTTAAATACAAATTTTGTTCTAAAAAAATGCGTGCTGAAGGGCAGATACATTTTGAAACCTATTTGAAAAAAATCACCCGTCCATCCGATAGTTACATTAAAAGTTATGAACCTAGGACGAAAAATAGCCCGAAAACTTTTGGAGTTTTATAAAATCTAAAAATCAAGTTCCGGCATTCCTTACCTGGTCTTCCATAACGATAAGCATGCGACTGAGCTGGGCGATAATCGATTGCGTCTAGGATTACGATTACTTTATTCGCAATTTAAAAAATGATTGCATTAGGATTGCGGCAATCGTTCACCGAAGGCATCTTAGATTCCGATTACAGTAATCGTAAGTTCAGTTTTTATACCCGAGCGTAGTTGTGCACAAGGGTATTATAACTTTGTTCACATAACGGCTGTTTGTAACAGGCAAAACGAATCGAGATATATATAGACAAATGTATACATAAATGCTCAGAATGAAAAGAGAAATTGTTTAAGCGGTAACTGTCTGTCCGTCCATTCGTCTGTGCCCACGATAACTCGAGTAAAAATTGAGATATCTTAACGAAACTTTATACATGCACTTCTTTCGGGCGTAGGACGGATGACATTGAAAATTGGCAAAATCGGACTTACTTATGTACTTACGGCAAATATATAAATATATTTAAAAAAAAAGAGAAAATCTGAGTAGATATTCAATTTTATAAAGCTAAGATTTATTAAAAAAATATCCACAGGTTTTTATATAAATCATAGAAAAATCTCTTAGTTCTTTGATGCGTTCTGTGAAAGCTCTCCAATTTTCTCCTGCGCAGATTTGGCGGTCTCAGCTAAAGCTTTGCCAGCATCATCGAACAGTTTCTGAAAAAAAAATTAAAAGTCATTTAGTTCCTTATCTAAAAAATTGTTTTAAATGGTGAGATCAGTATGCATTACCGGGGTTTGAAATGAAGTGAGGTATATAAATACGGTGACCATTCGTACCGATTTTGGCGGGACAGTACCGATTTGGAGAAAATTGTCCCGCTGATTATTTTTTAAAAGTCGAGACGTGTCCAGATTTTTCATATTTGTACTGATTTATTCCCGATTTTCAGTGTTTCCTTTATTCATTTATTGAGATTCTCCCTGTACTCTGGCTCAAAAACCATTTTTTTTTTTGTATATAGAGTGGCGAAAATAATATTTAGGGAAGACACATTTTAGCTTTGGCTTTGGCTTTTCCCCTTTCGATTATTTATTGTTTATTCCTCGTTATGAAAGCGTGGCTCGATATCTAACAAAGGCCATGTAAGTCTGAATTTGAAACTTTGTACAAAAATTAGCAAAATTCGACAAAGTTTCTTAGAAATATTCTCAGTATGCAGTTTTGTAACCTATTCAATTCAAAGTGCAAATTTTAAGTAGCTAGGACTTGCTGTTGATATTTGGTAAATTTTATGGAAGGTGTGGCTCATTATCTCCATACAAAAAAAAAATGAAGAAAATGCACGAACAAAAAATTGCCAAAAGTCAACGGTAAGTCCAAGCTTCTTCCAACTTGCACTTTATTATACTAAAATTAAATGGGCTGCAAAACTTCATACTCAAAACAATTCTAGAAAATTTGATTAAATGTTTCAAACTGTGATGAATATTTATTCAAATTCGTCGAATTTATATAAATGTTCTAAAAATTTTGATTTACATGTTTTTTTTTAGATAGTAAGTTATATTTTCTTAAAAAAATAATAAACATTTTTAAATTTATTTTCTTTGTTTTGTTTTAAATAAAACTGTATTAAGCATTTTTATTCTAAAAGCAAAACTTAATGTTCGGATCCGATGCTTTAGAAATGTCCCGATTTTTGGCCACAGAAATCTGGTCACCGTATATATAAATCAAAATTATTTCCTTATGCCTGATTTACCCCGTTTTCGTTAAGCATTTTTAAAAAAAATTAACCATTAATGTTAACTTAAATTATATTGGCTTAGGTAAAAAAAACTGACCGCCCTTTGTGATAAAATTTAGAATATCGGCATTAAAATCGGAAAACTGAATTCTGTTAAGTACACTCCACTTATTGCGGCTTTCGCAAGTTTCAACTGCCATTCATTTACATATGTACTCACCTTCACAGCATCACTATCGACAGCGGTCTTGAGCTTCTCCACAACATCACCGACCAGGTTTTGCAAGTTGTTTATCAGGTCAGCGGCAGGATCCTTGACGGCTGCATCCTTGACGGCTGCATCGTCGCGGGCAATGCGAGCCATTTCAATGAACTGCAACAACAATAAAATACGTTTTGTTAAAGTTTCGATCGACGACGGAAAGATGAATAAAAATCCTTAAAAGCAACGAACCTGCACAAAGCACAGCACAACGCAGAGACCAAGGATGCATTTGAGTAGAGAAGACATTTTATTTATTTTTTTTAGTTTTTATTGACTAAATCAGAAACTGTCGAACTATTCGCGGCAAAGATCGGCTTATGAATGATAAGTGAATTGTGACTGAATGCGCTTAGTTTGAATAATCCGCGCTACTAAGCCAGAGTCTTATCGCAACAATGCTTTCATGTTGTTGCTGTTTTTGTGTCTCGATTTTATGTAGTTTGTCATTTATTTATTCATTTTTTCTGCTAAGCTGATAACCTCTTGAGCTTAGCAGAGGATGTTGATTAGTTGGAATATATTGATAGTAAATATGGACTAAGTATTTGCTGACCTAAGTGTGCGTGCATATGCACATATACATACATACATATGTATTTACATATATACAGTGACTCAAGCAAGTGTTCGCATATTAATTTTTACTTAAATATTCACAATGTTTTCAAGTAAAATTTTTCTGCTATATTTTTATAAAAAATAATTTCGTATGTATTATGGCCTCCAACTTTATGCAAAATTTATAAAAACTCAACAAATGTTCATCAAAATTTCGATCTATTTAGGCTGAATCTTTAGAATATTTTTGGGTAAAATTTTAGTACAACAAAGTACCAAGCAGTTAAAAATCGCGTTGACTTTTAATTGTTTTTTTTTTTTGTGCTAACGGCTTCTGCGTTTTTTTATGTAACATGTGAAAATTTATAAAAACTGGAGTTAGTTTTATTTCTTCCCTGTAGGGAAAACACGAGCTAGTGAACCAGATTTCTAGTTCAGTACTAGTTCTTTTTCGCCAAAAACGTACCAGTCCGATAGTAACAAGTTCCGCACCAGTCCAAAAGCAGTGAAATGTGGTACTTTCACTGAACTATTTTATTTGAAATTTTGAAAGCAGGGAAGGTAATCATTATGAGTAAAATAATTTAAATCAGCATTTAATCATTATTTTATGAATTATTATTGAGTTTTTGTTTTTTTCGCACAAACGGAAATAATTATTATTTGATTTTTATTTTTGGGATTACAAATAATGATTATTTTATGATTTTTATTTTTTCGCGCAGAGATTATCATTAAAAAATAAATATAAAAAATCTTTAACAAAAGGAAAATAAATTACTTGAAAAACATTTTGAATATGTAAAAAATTAGAATGTGCACATTTTGAGTCACTGTATTTTTGCTTGGAAGTGCAAATTAAGGCGTGTTGTGTTGAAAATAGAAATATCATTTAAAGGGTGCTTCGGGCATACATATGTACATATCGGTACCATAATTCGCAAAGGCTCCAATTAACACTTTTTTCGAAATTGCGTTTTTCAAGGGTTTTTGGAGGATGTACATTTTAAAAATTTACCTTCATAAAAATTTTAAGCTCTTAGTACCAAAAACAACGGAGTTACATGCTATTCCTTAAAAAATTCTATCTGTTCTTCATACTTTTTATATAATGTTTTTTTGCTTCTCCTGTAAAATTAAAAATTTATTGGTTAGGGCCTTTGACGATATGTATGTAAAAAAATTTTTGATTGAAAAATATTACTTCCAGCTTTTATTAACTAAAGGTAAAGTTGTCGAGTTTTATATGCAAAAAGTCGAATTCATTCATAGGACCACTTGTCAGATTAGTGAGGATCATTGCCGAAGGAAAGTTCCTAGCAAATGATGTCAACTTTCTAACATAAATTATTTCGGCCAGTTTCGCCTCTGAAAAAGAAATTATCCTTCGAAACTTTCTACAAAAATATACTACAAAGGGGTGGACTAGGCTTCACTTTTCTTCATTTCTTCATTTGCTACAAAGTTTAAACAACCAACTTTTTCCTATCCTCATCCAGTGGTATAATTTTGTTTTTGCTTAAGGAAATACCAAAGTCTACATTTGTTTTCTTGCCCATTTAGATTTGGATACTCCAAGGCTACATTGTCGAATGGAAGAACAAAACACAAAACAACCACCTCGAAAAGAGCTTAGAAATTCGCCAACATAATATCTAAAACTGTATAACTCTCCTTTGGAAAATACTTTATGTCTTACTACGCTCAAAAACTTAAAATAGATAAATAGAGGGCTGATGAACTGAAAATCACCGAACTCCTGGAATGTTTGGTGTAAAGTTCGCAGTCTTTTGTTTTGACTTAAATTTTGTATAGAAAAATATAGTGACCCTAAGTACTTTTAGCTTCCGGGTGTGCACAGATCTTAGTCAAGAATAATTGGTAATGACTTCAACTGAGTTCCTCGCCACTTTTGTTCGTAAACATGCAATCGAGGTAAGTAACCGCCAAGCTGCACTAAAGGTATTGACAAGCTTTCTAAATACTTCCAAACTAGTTCGCCAATGCGAGTCTCGACTAAATTATATACATGTGTACGCTGGAAAATAAATCGAACTTATTTTTACTCAGGGTGCCAAGTCACCTGGTAATGAAACCTTTCATCATCTGTCATCTGGCCCTCCGACGAGATATTCCTTAGTTTCGCAACCAGTTATATGTAGCACTCCCAATGCCGGCCATCGAGGCCACAATCAGAAACTGGGCGAATAATTCCCCCAGCAATGACTGGCAGGCTTCGGGGGCCTGCTGGTGGACAAACCCAAATTGCACTCAATCTCAGAAGTTCTAGCTTGGTATTTGCCTTCATTCAACAGACTGACTGCAGACAACTCTGATCGGAATATACAACAACCCCATTTGTACCGCCCTTGCTAGCTTTGGGTATTCCCTTTATGCTAACAAATACACCTGCTCAAGAGGCAAATCAATTAATGAAAAAAGCTCAAGCATTTTTTAGACAATTTATTACAACAGGATTACTGGATTAATTACAAGGAATTATTGTTTACAAAAAAAGAACGGTCGGTTCTTATTAATCAAATCCAGAACTCGGTATTCGAAATAAAGTAGCTTCAAAAAAGATTTATAAACTAAAAAATTTATGAAACAGTCATTTTATGAAGCTCTTTAAACCTACTTTATTCTTTAGGAAAAAGGTCATAAGTTTTTGGTTATTAAATTTGTTTGTTATTCAGTTGGTTCAGGTGTTTCTTCTACCCATTTGCATTCTAGATTCGACGAACATATCCATCCAAATTTTATGCAGCATTGTTGGTTCCAACTATTTCTTTTCCGAAATCGTCAAACCATTTCTGAAATATACATAAAAATCATTTGTGTATGAGAATAAAATCAAACTGAAACTAATGCAAACCAAAGTCCTCGAAATCTTAACGAAATCTTTAGGAGTATTTCATTTCTGTAACGATTTTTTTTTACGAATACTTAAAGAAATTTATATGCAGTGGTTGACACAAAATTTCTGTACGAAAACTAAAGAAAATTCCGAACAAAATCTGCAGGAATTATTCACTTAGCAGCATTATTTACAGAAATAAGATACTCCTAAAGATTTCTTTGGGATTTCAAGAACTTTGGTTTGCAGGGTATATGTATATACACACACACACACACACACACATGCTACCTAGAAACGTGAACTCACTTTTAATGAATCATCATCTACAACGGCCTTAAACTTTTGCGTTATATCGTCCAGCATATTTTGCAAACCGAGTGCTAGTTGTGAAGTAGGCCCCTCCTGAGCGTCTGTTTCATCGCGCGGAATGCGCGCCATTTCTATGTACTGGAAAACAATTAGAAACAATTAGTATAGAAAGGCCCTAACTCAGATATTCGTTGAAATGCAAAAAAGCCGTAACTAACTAAATTTTTTTACTGCTTAAATTCATTAAAGGGAATTTCGGATTTTTACTTAGTTGCGGCTTTTTGTATTTCAGCGCCGATGTGAGATAGGTCCTTTCTATATTAAGGTAAGGATATGTATATTTAAAAATACTTTTATATTTGCTGAAATGTGTTATAAATGAAAACGAATCAAATTTGACCGACCTGCATAAAGCACAGCACAATGTATAGCCCAATGATGCACCGAAGCGTGGCTGACATTTTGCAGATTCTTGACTTCGTTTCTTATATTTTAATAAACTGGTGATATTTTATCCGCTCACTGTTCGCTCTGAAGGCTAACTCAAGAGTGATAACCTCAATCGTTTCCCGAGGATGTGCACTACATATCAGTCGGTGAGCAGAGCTCTCGTTTTATTTATTTTTATTATAGTTTTCTGTTTTATTTCGTTGATAACTTTTTAGACCTCTTCGTGGAGATGAGTATTCATTTTTCATATTTACGACAAGTTATTCTGAATGCAGCTATTTTATGTATGCATGTGCATATAGTAAATATATGGATGGTTGATTGACTGCCTTGCATTTATTTGTTATTTATGTTTACAATATTACAATTATTCTATACTATACATGCACGAATGAATGCAATTGAATAACCCGGTAGGAAAAAGTGTTAAAGATAGGCCGACAGTGAACTGCATTGTTGGATTCTTTACGCCTATTTTGGTATGGAATGTCCAAAGTTCCGGGTCTTCCGATTCAATTTCTTTGTAAAAAGGTTGACCAATGAAGTGAAGTGGCGCCTTGCTATCTGAATGCCAACAGTTTAAAATGTAAACATTTCGGAACTAAGAACCAAATTAAAAATTATTCATCCCTTTGACACCGAAGATACTTATGACGTCTCAGTCATTGTGAAGACCAGGTTACGTTCGAGCTTCTATGAAGGTGAATTCTTTGATATAAACTTGTAAAAGTGTTGTTTTTCAAAGATGGGGGCTCGGCTAAAATAAGCTGTTTGAGAGGTGGCGGAGTTATTCTTTAAAAAAAAAAACTATATTCATAGCACAGAGTAGTACATTAAAGCTAATCTCGACCACTTCGGAATTTAATGCATTATCTAATTGTAAGATTTTTCTTTGCTTAAATCGGGTTTTATTAAGGTTCTCAATTTAATACATACATAGTTTAATTTATGCACTAATTATAGACTTATATATAGGTAAATAATGTTACTACGATGGACAATTGAGAGCCGGGTGTCCCATGTTGTAAGTGTTAAGACGACCATGTTGCCTTGTCTATATTGAAACTCAACTTTAATGTTAAATTAGTCGCTTTCATGCCAGCCAAAGTGCATAAATACCCATCCCCATTGGTTGCATTGGGAAGGAAATCTAAAAATTAAATAACATTGTGACAGATAAATTTGATACAAATTTTTGTAAGTTTAGGTTATTGGCCAAAGCAATTGATCTACAGTT